TTACAGTTTTGTCTTTAAGATATGCAATTAATAACAGATTTTTGAATGAAATGTCATCTGACAGTTTGCGCTTTATGTATTATGTAAAGACAAAAAATGTTATTATAAAAAGTAAATATTATTGTACAATGTTATCGCGCAATGTGTTTGCAGAAATATCAATAAAAATAATCTTATATTCACATATGTAATCCTTACATCGATATTAATAAAAGGGGCGATAAGTCAGTTTTTGTTTTTAGGAGTTGCGCGTGCCGTACCTGAGCGCGCCAACTTTAGACGATCTGATTAGTTAACTTTAAACACTTATAATTCAAAAACTATTATAGTCTCAACATTTTGGTATTAAAACTTTTGTCTTAAAATGATCTCATGAATCTACCCTTAAGCGTTAGTCCGGTCATTACGGGACACCCTGTATATATATATATATTTAAGTATCTCCGGTAAATATTTTGATAATACGGATATGTATGATAACGTATGTACAAATGAGGATAGCATATGGACATACAAACTTATCCTTTTGGGGATATTCTTATAGTGTCCACAAATGTATATCCTATGGACAGCTTGTAAGGCTCATGGATGTCCCGACCAGAAATGGACATAAAACGGATGTCCATAGGATATCCTGTGCTGTCTGGGTACGTTCTTGCTCCTGAGATCCTCGTGTATTAAATCGTGTATTAAAAGAATGAAGATACTTCATATAAATTATCCTTCCTATAAAATCTCTTCCTATAAAATTATTACAAGAATACATTATGTTATATAAAAATTATTTGAATATTTACACTTTAATCGAATTTTTAGTATCTTAATTAAAATTTATTTATACGTCTTTAATGCCTTTTAATATGCCAAGTTTTGTTAATAATATAATTATATACAGACAGATGACTTGACTTAAAAAATAATTTTTAAAATATTTATGTAATATTTATACACGAAATCATATTTACATGACAAATCTGTTGAGCTATAGTATTAATTTCAGCCAAAGTAAATCTGTCTTTTCGTATATGAAGACGGGTATACAGTGATATGCCTCTACATACATTAGTCACTACTCTCAATTGAGGAGATTTTAATTAGACTTTTCTGTGCTTGCCTCTAATAAAATGCTTATCGCCATTCCATTCTTGACTATCCTTTCGCTTATTTATTATTACTGTAAAGAAAAACAGCTCACAAAGTATATTTTCGTATTTTCTTATTATCAAATAATAGTAATTTTACTTTTTCAAAAA